GAGGCTGGGCGCGGCCGGGGGCGGGGCTATGCTTCAGCCTGCGCCGGCGGAGGGAAACCGTGACGTCAACATCCGGCGCCGTGCGTCCGGCGCGACGCCAAGGGGAAAAGCTTCCCGTTGAAGGTGGGGAGAGGTGTCACCCAGACACTGGGTTTGCGGGGCGATCCCCCAAGGAAAGGGAGGGGCTCTGGAAGAGGAATTAGCTGTCCAGGACTAACGTAGCCAAGGTTTCCGCTGCCTTTTTTTTTTTTCCAGCTCGCAAGACGCTTTCTTGTTTAATCATCATAATAGGCGTGGTGCAGTTTGACCTCGATTCTCGGACAAAGAAACCAGGCCCAGAAAAGTTGTGGTTGACTCAAGGTCACGTAGTTAGCACAGGAGAAAGGCTGATTCGGGGCTTACAGAAAAATGGAAAACAGCAAGGGAGGAGAAACACCCGTAACGGGGAGAGGGTCTGCCCGAGTGAAAGGTGGTCTCCAACCGGGGATTTAGCTCAGTGGTTCCTCGGCCTGCCTCGGAGGCGCAAGGATCCGAGTTCGATCCCTGGCATCAAAAAAAAAAAAAAGAAAGAAAGAAAGAAAGAAAGATGGTCTCAAGTAGAATGGTACCACTCTGGGTTAGGAGGACTGAGGATTGCCCGAAGCGGGAAGTGCAAAGCATTCTGGAAAAGGGAAGATCTGTAACGCCATCTCTTTAATTTCCTCAAACGCTGAATTTTCTTGCTCCCGGCCAGTTTGGGAGAGGCACTTGCAGGCTCCGGCCACCACTTTCTCCCTTGATCTTGAGGGAGGTGGAGCGGGTAAGTAGAAGATTGAGAAGTAAAGGAAGGGGGTGGAATCAGTCCAGTGAATAAATCCCATGATTTGTGAGGTCGCCGCCGCCAGGCAGAGAGTCACGTGTGTAGAATGACACAACACCCAAGCCCAAGATGAGCTGAGTCCAAGGGTCACTTCCCGGAGCTATCCTGTAGCATTCGCAAGTAGGGCTGAGGACACTCCCAGAAGCCCCTTTCCTCTGCCACAGGTGACTCAGGCATTAGCTGGCCCCTACTCGTCTTAGACGATCGGGTGGGAAGGCAGGACTTTAAATAAACGAGTGAGCGAGTGGCTCCGTCACCTTTGGGGTCATAAATACTCTGAACTATGTGTTTACAAGTTCAGGTTCTATCTTTACAAGCATGAACTGGGAGCTGGAAGTGGTACCCTGTCATTCCAGCACTCAGGAGGCAAAGGCAGGACTATCTCCACAAATTGGATTATGGCCAAAGCCAGACTCTGTCAAAAACATACAAAAAAGTGAACTGGGCCAGGGGTGGGTGAAGATACTTCTATAATTCCAGCTACCCCAAGCCCAAGGCAAAATAATGGCGAGTTTGAACCCAGCCTGGGCAGTTTACTTCTCTTCCTTGTCGTGGCACACGCCCGTGCCTGTCTGTAATTACACACTGGGAGGCTGACTCAGGAGCATCAGAAGTTCAAGCCCAGCCTGGGCAATTCAGCAACACAGCAAGACTCTGTCTCAGAATAAAAATTAAAAAGGACTGGGAATGGAGCTCAGTGATAGGGTGCTTACCTAGCACACAGGCCCTAGGTTCAAGTCCCAGTGGTCCAGGAGGATCCCAGCTCTGAATATCTTCTTTTTCTGAGTGCTGTCACTCTCAGGCTTCTATTTTCCTGGCAGTCACTAGAGCAGGAAAACTCAAGGCAGTGCTTTACTTTGTCTTTGCACAATATTTTCATACACATCAGGAAATTTAGAGGGGAAAAAAAAAAGTTGTTGACTGTCAAGTATGAGGTTATACTTAAGTCTTTATAATAAGTATGCTTGTTTAGGTATAATTCAACATAGGAAATTAAAAAAAATAAATTTATGTCTTGAAGTTAATCCTCTGGTAGCTATCAGAGGACACAGTTGCTTCAAAGTCAGGGCTGGGGTATCGCTCAGTGGTAGGACACTTGCTTAGCATGGATGAGGCCCTGGGTTCAGTCCCCAGCACTGAAAAAAAAAAAAGTTAAATTAAGCTAAATATCCATCAACCACTAAAGAGATAAACAGAATATGGTGTATGCATACAAAGAAATTATTCAGCAGAAAAAGAAAGTACGTGCTACCATGTGAATGAGCCTTGGAAATAATACGCTCAGTGAAAGAAGAGGCTGGAAGGAAAGGACCTGGTATGGTTCCCTACACGTGAAATGGCCAGAAGAGCCAGATCTATCAAGACACTTACGTGAACTGGTGGTTGCCTAGGTTTAGGAGGCACCAAGGGGAAAAAGAAGTGATACAGGAAGCATGTGAGAACTTGCTTCGGTGATAATAGAAATTAAAATTGAAGCAACAGCACTAATTTATAGGCAAAAGCCTTGTGAAGAAAGAAAACAGGAAGAGGCTTCAGCCTGACAAGAAATGTTGAAGGGGGAACTGGTCTGTCGGAGATCAGACTGGCCCGTCCACACAAGAATGGGGGCTAGCTTTTAAAAGGGTCACCAGAGTTGGGGGTGAGGGGAAGATCTGAGACAGGGTCTCCCTTATGTAATTCAGACTGGCCTTCAACTCACTGTGTAGCTCAGGCTGGCCTCAAACTCATGGAGGTCCTCCTGCCTCAGCCTCTAGAGCGCTAGGATTATAAACCTGTGCCGCCAGGCCCTGCTAGAGTCTGGTAATTTTCCATTGAGTCATAAATAGGATTTTGTTTATTTGAGACTTCTTCCTTGTGTTGTAGGGGCTTTCCTCCTGTGCAGGATGTGGATCACTGTCTGTTTGCACCTTTGGAGAGGCCATGGCAGCCATCCAACTGTTAGAGCACACTTGTTCCTTGCGGCCAGAGTAGGAGAGCGCAGGAGGGGATTCCATACTGTGCTAGCAAGGAAGGATAGGGGTCCCTTTTAGTAGGTAACAGGTCATGGATTAAGGCCCGGGAATCCCTGTCTCTTGTCTGCATGAGGGTCCCTGTCCTTTTTCAGAAGTGATTGCTCCCACTCATGATGGGGTCCACCTGAATCCCAGCATCTGGTAGAATGAGGCAGGAGGATCACAAGTTTGAGCCCAACCTGGGCAAGTTAGTGATTTGTGGAGACCCTATCTCAAAATAATAAAAAAGGGCTTGGGGAACCAGCTCAGTTGAAGAAGGCCCTGGCTTCAATCCCCAGAACAGCAAAAACAGTGATTGCTAATGGGTTTGGGGGGGTTTTGGGGGGCGAATGAGAATGTTCTAAAACTGATGGAAGGAATACATGACTCAATACACTGAAACTTATATTTTACATTTTATGTACATAATTGTGTGATATGCAAGTTACTTATCAATAGAGCTATTAAAAATAAAGCTTACAGTTAGACTGATTTTAAAGTGGACCCAAGGGAAGCACATAATTCCATGTGATAGAGTAGAAAGAAAACGATCTTTAAATTGAGCAGCTTGTAGCCGGGAGTGGTGACGCATGTCTGTGCTCCCAGCAGTTGGGAGGCTGAGGCAGGAGAATGAGAGCGAGTTCAAGGACTACACAGCAAGACCTTGCCTCAAAAAAAAAAAGGAGAAGCTTGTATTCCAGGTTGAACTGGTCATTCTGAACAGTTTAGGCCAGAAACAAAAAAAAAAAAATGAATGTGAATATTTACTGAGAACCAAGCAGGTGCCACCAGTGCAGGAAGGACGGTGAGCTTTAGTTTCCTCCTCTGCATAAGGAAGGAGTTTGTCAGAGTCTGGAAAGGGTTCCTGGCGCTCAGTCCTGATTCGCATCTGCAGGAGGGAGTAACACAGGAGAGAGGCCTGCAGACTGGGTACCACCGGTTGGGGTAGGCTCCTAGTTAAGTAGGTGGTTGGACACCTCCTCTGCTCATCCGTGGGGACAGATTCCCCAGCTTCCATCTCTGAGCTGCCAGGACTGAGGTTATCCTGACAGACTAAGAGTTATTGTGAAAAAACAGCTCACACTGTGGACCAAGTGTTTGTTTTTTATTCCCAAGGGGAAGGAAATTCCATTTCAAGAGATCCCTTGGCCTGGTAGAAATAGGGAAGGCAGTGATGGGGCAGCGGGCAGGAGGCATACAGGGCAGGAAGGGCGGAGCCTGTCCCTAAGCACAATAACTATAATCACAGAGGCTGAAATGACTGGTCCTGTTTTCGTCCGCCTTCTGGAGCCATTACAGTTCTGTTTTCTGGTTTCACACACTTAGGCTTCCTTACCTGAGGAGAGAGAATGTCTGAAAGATGAAAAGAACAGAGGAACTGGGAGGCTGAGGCAGGAGGATCACTGAAAGTTCAATACCAGCCTGTAGCTCAGTGGCTGCCTTGCAAGCACAAGGTCCTGAGTTTGATCCCCGGTACGGGGTGGGGGGAGGTCCTGGGAGGCCCAAGCGTGAGAAGACAAGTGGCTTGTGTCTTCACGTCTCCATAGTCGTGGCAAAGTGGAACAGCTCAGGGCCACAGCCAAGAGTTGCCATTCATCGTAACTTCTCTGAGGCATAGCTCAGTGTTACAGCTCTGGGTCATGACTATGGACATTTGAAGACTGGGGAATGCGATGACACTCGAAGAGGTGGAGAAAAACTATCACGCCAGCTCAAAGGAGTTCATACTCAAGTCAGAACACCCTTCCAGAAGTGAGAGCCGCCTCCTACAGGG